CCTTTACCTTAGAAGAGTCTGCATTCTGCCTGGGTTTGGAGTTTCAAAGTGTGTGCTTTTCCTTTTAAACAGAGTGGCGAGATCCAGAATTCATGAGAGAAATTGAAGCAGCCACAGGAGTGGATCTTGGTTCCTCTAAAATTAATGGAAAAGAAGGGAAAAAGAAAGGGAAGAAGAAAAAATACCCAAATCTGACAGACCTGAAGCAGCAGGCTAACACTTCTCGTTCCAGGCTTGAGAAGGAAGTCTTCAATAAGTAAGACACTTAGTTCTCTAAAGCCTGATAAATTGCTATTTCCTTATGTTTCACTGGTTCTTTCTGTTTCTACATTAACATGCACTTACTAAACAACTTTCTTCACTAACTGCAGAGCAGGAATGCCCTCTGTATCTCTGGAGGGTCAAGAGCAGCCAGTACTGATGACCAAGGTTGTTTGTTTGACAATGTTCAGTTAATTTACAGAATTCCCCTGATTTGTATTCCTATGATTTTTTTTTTTCCATCCTTCACAAATTTTTATCTTTAATTGCTGTACTAGCTTCTCTGGATGATCATTTATTAATCGGATGGATGCTACTTTACGTGTGCAAGTAGTACTGGATCTGGAAAGAAGATGATGTGTTCAAAGTGACACAATTTACAGCATCAGAAGCACTGTAGTAGTGTAAATGGAATGAAAATGAAGTTTTTCTCTTTTGAAAGCCTAAGATAAACTGTCCTGAGCAGAACTTCAGTTAATAAAAGGATCTATCAGAACCCCTTGGATTTTGGCATGTTGACAGTTGCCCTCACACCTCTAGTTTATGCTCAGAGACCTTCCCAGAGTTTTGACTGTGTGTTTTCTCTCACTCCTGGACATACTAAATTGCTAGCTGGGCCTGATGCAGTGCCTTCCCACCACACAGTGATCCCTTCCTCTGTATTGTTCAGGGACACATTGTCATTACAGTTTTCTCCTCCTATACCAAGAATGCATTTAGCTGGTTAAGAATCATAGTATATAGTTAGGGTTGGAAAGGACCTTTAGATCATCTAGTTCCAATCCCCCTGCCATGAATATTTGGATCCTTGTGTTATGGTCCTTGTTCACTTAACCCCTGCTGCCCTCTGTAAATATCAAGGCCTGGGACCTACTGCAGATTTCTTCTCAGTGTAGGAGTCTGGAGATGATTATTCGGTGTACCAGAGACATGTGGACACAGTATTCTTCCCACCATGGTGCTGTTTCAGTATGTATCTCTCTCCTTCCTGCACATGTGAAAACAGTATCTCTTGGCCTACATTTAGACTGAGAAGAACCTGTTTGGATGGCATTAGCATTCAGACATGTAGAACAAAGGCATGTCCTTGTCTTACATAGACATATGTTAACTTTAAAGCAGACACTCTAACTCAGAGAGAAATGGGAGCCTATGGTTTTAGAATGTATACTACCTCCACGTGTCCACTCTGTAATGCTATTTCTGATGTCTAGTCTTGGTTAGATGTGGCTGCAACATAAATTTGCCTAAGCATGCTCTGGTCTTCCTCAAATGGAAAGCAGATGTAGCTATTGAAAGAGTTTCACATATAAAATTCAAGTAGTCAAAGGAAAGTGAAGAGTTTAAAGTTCTCAAATGAAAAAAGCAAAATTATTATTATAAGATCATTAATGGTAGATTATTCCCTAAACATACTGGATTAGTTGAACAGCATCCAAGGCACAATATTTGTTTAAACTCTATTTTCCCTTTTCTGCTGTAATGGTTATAATAACCAAGCCAAATCCACATTGCTCTTAGTCACAGAAATAACATGTTTTCTGTGGAATTCTTATCTCACCTAGCTTAGAAGTCAGGGACACACAGTTCTAATGATCAGAATTTCATATCAGCTTTCACAAAACAAATTTTAAAAGCTGGTTTTGGTTTATTGTGGTTTGTGCTAATGATTTTGAGTGTGTGTTAGTGCCGGGCATAGGGTATCAAACCTGTCATGTTTTAATAGGTTTCATGCTTTGCAGCACTAAATAAGATGATAACCTTGGCTCCTTCTAACAACCCCAAATTACTTGAAATGTATAGGTGATAAACCCAAGCTCTAGTCTGCCAATAAAGTTAAGTGAAATTGCACACAGATCATCAAAGTGGGATCTCATTTCGTTTACAGTATCGCACAATCCAGTGGTGCTAATGTAAAACCTACATGACGTGAAAGTGTCAAGGCCACTCTGCACTGCTAAAGGCTCACTTTTCTCCTACCAATTAGCAATATTTGAAGTGCAAACCCATGACCACATCTTCCTTACTCTGGTAACTTCATTGGCAGAATTTTGTTAAAAGCATACCTCTCCCAAGGCATTTTTTCAGAATATTGGTTTTCATTACAGTCGCTGCTGAGAAGATCTTTAATCCCACCATGTAGAAGTATCCCCTGTTTTGAGATGTTTCAAAATGGCTTTTGAAATGAAGTTGTTACGGAGAGCTAAAACAGACATCAGCTTGCTTCTCAGAGATTGACCCTTCCAGCTCCACTTCTGCGGTTGTAGGGCCTGATCCTGAAAGAGCTTGGTGCACACTAGTAGGTGAATGTCTTGTCTTCTGCACAGCCTTCAGCATCCTCAGAAGTGATAGAGCCTAATATCACTAGGCTTGAAACCGTCCATGTGTGATGGAACCTGCCAACTGCATTTTGGTGTAGGAATCAAAGGAGACATCAATCAGTGCCCATGTTCTTAAACGAGACATAGTTCCTCAAACCAAGCCCTTATTAGGTGGTATACCTCCTGTGTTGGCAGGGCACCCAGGTCTTTACAGGGTTGTGTCAGGAGAGTTTCCTTCTTCATAAACAGAGGCAGGGTGACATCTCAGCACACCTGCAAATAGCAGCCTCAGATTTCTGAGCTTTTGTGCTAGAGACACTCAGAGTAACCTGTAAATCTGGGAACTCTAGAATCAGTGAAGGACAAAATTCCCTAGATAAGATAAACTCAGATGTGCACAACAGCTCCTGTAAGTTTCTGTGGGGCCAGAAACAGAACAGAGCATTCTTTTGACTTCTGCTTTCTTACCCCTCGTGATTATGAATTATGAACACGTTCCTCTGCCTTGCCAGTTAAAGGATATATAGACTTACTCTCTCTGTGCCTGTTATGAGAATCTCCTGCTCCTACACATGCTGTCTAGGCATCATTGTCCTCACCCTCAACACCTCAGCTGTGCGATCTTCACTCAAAGTTTGTGTAAGGAAAAACTGTCTGTGTCTCCAGTCTCCCAGTTCAAAAGCATAACAGTCACTTGCAAAAGAAGATAATCTCTTGGCACCATCTTTACTGGGAGGCAGCAATGGCAGCAAATAAAGAGCAGCAACACTCATCAGATTTAAGAGCATCAGAAAGCTTAAGAGCTCCAAAGTTGATTTCTTTATTTCATTTTTGAATCCGAAGAACACAACAGAGTTGTCTTCAAGCACAGCAGTCACTGTGGAGGGCTAAAATGCTTTTGCCCATCATGACACAGCAGAGATCCCATTCCACTTATATACAAGGATAAGATACTGGACATACTGTCCTTACAATGCTAAACTCTAAACACTTGGCTGTTCTGCAGCAGTTATCCATCTCTCTGCAGAGAGATACATGACAATCTCTGGTGTCTTCCTAAACTAGTGTTGTATTTGTGGACTAAAAAGTTGCTGCTTAGGAATGGGGATGCTGCTGGTGTGAGCAAACGCATTTTACTCTGCACACAGCTAATGAAATGGGGTTTCAGTAACCTCTGAAAGGAAGGTTGCTACATGGGTTATAGTTACATGAATTGACCAGCAAGCATTCTAGATTCTGCAGGTCAGATTTCATAAGGGTTTCTGGGTTTTAGGTTTTTTAGGTCCTGTTAGATACCTTTAGTTATCTTCCCCCCCAAAACACACCCCGAGAGCAAGTTAGGTGCTTTTGAAAAATCAAACTTGCTGTGTGTGACTATCAGAAATAGTGCTCAGAGGGTGGAATGCACAGCCATTAGGCTGAAGGACTTTCATTTGTTTACTCCTGTTAATAAAATCATTGCTTGAATTAAACTATTTGTATTGCTGCAGCTAATTTAGTTAACAAGACAAATTTGTTCAGCCTCATCAGCGCAGTGTTCAGAAGCCTGGGAGTGATTAATCATAGTTCATTCCCCCCCATTCATAAACATTCTCTGATACTGTGTAGAATCAACATAACTGGGTTTATTGTTTTGTGTTTCTCTTTCAGAGGTGCCATGAAACGGGTGGTGAAAGCGATGAACCGAGTGGACCAAAGGAAGCACGAGAAGTTTGCCAACCAGTTTAACTATGCACTGAATTAAATTGTTAATCTTCTTTACCCTTCAGGTGATTACAAGAGTGCAAGTGCACAAAACCTTTAGCATAGATCTTCATATTTGTACTGAAACACTGTGCTTGGTGTGGTTTTACTGGGATAATCTCTTTTGCTTTCAACTTTAACTTATTTGATAATAACATGAATTTTGACAAAGATGTGGAAGTATAGAATGGAATGCATTCCACAATTATTTCAATTATTTGAAATATACATGAAATAGAGCATGTTTTATGACTTGTACATACTCTGGGTGAAATGTTTGGAGTTTTTTCCTTCCTAAGGGGCTCGTGTAATTTATACTTCCTTTACGAACATGTGTGTTGTAATTTGCCTCCAGTTGCATGCCTTAGAAAAAAAGATGCCTTAGAAACAGTCAAGATTTCCACCAGAGAAAGGCATCTACCAAAGCAGCCTTTTGGTACCTAAAGGGGCCTACAAGAAAGCTGGAGGCAGATTTTTTACAAGGGCATGTAGTGACAGAACAAGAGGGAATGGCTTTAAACTGACAAAGTGGACATTTAGGTTAGGTACTAGGAAAAATTCTTCCCTGTGAGGGTGCTGAGGCGCTGGCACAGTTTGTCCAGAGAAGCTGTGGCTGCCCCATCCCTGGCAGTGTTCAAGGCCAGGCTGGACGGGGCTTGGAGCAACCTGCTCTAGGTGCTCCCAACCATGGCACGGGGTTGGGACTGAATAAGCTTTAAGGTCTCTTCCAACCCATATACGCTATGATTCTACGATTTGCTCAGCCTAATAATCTAGAAAGTGCACTACATTACGCAGCACAGGAGCTCCTGACTACCTCTGAAGACCTCTTGTGTACACACACAGAAAAATATCCAAATCAACTGATGCCTTCAAATAATGAATGGAGCAAAGTTTGATTTCAGCAAAAGATGTCCACTGCACTGGAAGCAAAGCCACTCTTACTATCAGCATAGCTAACTTGACAATAAAGGCTTCAGGTGAAACTGAAGATGGGGACAAGCCAAGTTCATCAGCAGATCAGTTGAATCAACTGCTAAACTGATTTTGTTATTAAAGACACACGCACGAAAAGACCCCAACAAGACAAACCCATCAACAACCACATCCTGCACATTTGAATGTAAAATAGATCACTGGATTCTGGGACCCCAGAACAGTCCAAATGAAGCTCTTTGATCTTGGAGATTAACATTTAAAAGAGCCACAAAGGTTGCTGTGCCACTGTTTCAGAGATTCTTGAGCCTGCCCAGACTGAAGGTGTTCATTTATAAGACATGTTTTCTCCCTGTAAAAAGACTGGGGAATTTGTATTGTCCAGTGGCACTTAACCCTTATTTGCTGTGAACATCAGATGTCAGCACTAGAAAATTTCCAGCAAACAGTAGGTGTGCTTTACCCCATGGAGTTACCATTTTGGCCTTTAGTGGAATTAAAAACATACAATAAAAATAAAGGCCAAAGACCAAGATCAGAAAAGGAAGTGGTAGAAATACATGAGAAAAAGGTGTGCTTAGTTATTAATACTCAGTTATGATGCCACTCAGTCCCATCAGTTCTAAAATTAGCAGCTGAAACCTCCTATCTGGACCTGAATGTCTGATCTACCAGTTAAACCTGATCCTGTTGTGTGATCTGTATGATCTGCCCCTTTCTTTATTAAAAGCACATGCAAAAAGGTGTTTTTCTAAAATGACTGTTCTGTGCAGAATTAAGGTTTCCCAGCAAGCGACTTGGAGATGGCTGTCTCAGACACAGGTGCATGGACTTCGGTCCAGGTTAGCAATGCCCTTTTCTAAAGCCCTTCTACTTCCTTTTTTCTGGTTTTGTTGCAAGAACTTTCATTGTAAGGTGGAGAATTAACCCAGTTGGATATGATTTTTTTTAATTCCTCTTTCTGCCTTGATGCAAGAAAGACCATTGGCTTTTCATAGGAGAACATGTTAAACACACATCCTCTGTAGCACTGCCTCTTACTAGCATGTAACTTCCCTTCATCGAGTGCTTGAGGAACTTCCAGTGCTTCACCTCCCATGTTAGTTATTGCCTTGTTTAATCAAGTGATTTCTCTACAGGGTAACTCAGCGTACATACACGCAACAGGTCTTGAATTTTGCCATTTTGAACATTCTCATTAGACGTGGTCAGACGTCATTTGAACGTTTGGAGAACTTTCTCCTTTTCTTAAATAGAAATCCTTTCAAGTTTGAGATAAATCAGTCTGGTTTTTAAACGTCACACCTCTTTGTGTGTCACTTCCAGCAGTTTACAAGTTTGAGGTCTCTGAGATCTCAGCTTTGCAAGCATCTTAGTTGCTAAACTGTGTGATGTTTCTACTGGAACTTTTCTATTCCTGTCCTCAGGGCTTCTGGAGAAATAAATAAATATGTCATTCACATAATTTCTGTTGTATGCTTTTGCCTTTATAACTCAAGTGCCTTTGCAGTTGTGCTGTAACATACTTCTACTCAATGAATAGTCTGTGTTTCTAAAAGGATGTGGTAACTCTGAGCTGCAGTTCGCTGTGCTGATGCACCCAAGTCATCCTTTTATAACTAGTGCTGTTTTGGTGGTAAAATGGGAACTGAAAGCAGACTTCTCCATGGGTGTTCATACCTGAGCACTCACTTGCATGTGGGGAGGAAAAGACTATAGAAAAGACTATAGCACATATGATTGTAGTGCTGTTTAAGGTTGGAATCAAGGGACTGGCTCTAATACAAAGCACTTGGTGACGTAAATGGGCAATAGGTGACATCACAATATGAGCAGGGTTTCTGAATAAAAACAATCCTTCAGCACATCCTCTCTGAAGTTCTTGAGGCAGGATGGGTCCATACCCATCTTTTGCACAATAACATTGTGATTTGATTTTCTCTGAGCTTACTTGAGGCTTGTCTTTAGCAATCCAGACACCGGATTTGTAAGTGATTCTGCATGGACAGTGCATCAGGCACACAGAACAGCTTACAGGTTGGGGAAGGCATCAGTGAGCTCAGAGTGAACATTACTGGAGAAGAAAACCCACACATTTTTCTTTTGTGAAAACAAAATAATAAACCTTTTCCTGTTAAGGCCTCAGAGCAGCAGCCTAATCAACACCAGCCTGGACCTTCCCCTTCCAGCAGCACTGAGGACCCCTTCAGCTAGGTGAGATGCTAAAGTTCCCAAGACTTAGTACATGCCCTGGAAAATACATATGGAGGAGAGCTGGGTCTGCCTGGCAGCTGGACAAATAGGGACCAAATTATTGCCCTTCCATCTGTGGGACTTGAAAGAAAAGAAGTGGAGAGAGCTATTAATTGTTAATGTTTCTGAGGTGCTTTCCCTCTTCTTCCTCTCCTTCAAAGCTGAGTGAGTGGAGGAAGAAATTAACTCATGTCCTTGTTGAGCTTTAACTATTAGTTAGGCCTGGGTAGTACAGAGCCTAGATTTAGCACTGGCTCAGGAGAGCGGTCAGGGAGCAGGCTCTGCTGTGTTGGGAGGAGGGCACAGTGATGCTTTGTGTTAGTGACAGGCTGCACCTGAGGCTGGGCAAACTGAACTAGACTTTACTCCAGTGCAATCTGCTTCTTTGTCCCTAAATGTCTGGAACTTCAATACTGTAATTTTGAGTGGACTTCTTGCTTTTCTGCCTATCAGTGCCCTCAGCACAAGCCCAGCCGAGCGCTCGTATGGTTGTAGCATCAGAAATCCCCTCTTGTCAAGGGGTTAAGGAGAAAGCTTATTAAAATGGTTTAAATGTGGTGCTAATTAGTTTAGCTGTAATGAGCAGCATTAGGCATCTGGTTACTTTGAAAGGGATTGTTGAATAACCATTTCTGCCGACATTCCAATTTGCATAATGACAAGGTGCTGGCATTGCATCCACCATTAATTTGTGATATTTATAACACCATTACGGAGCCACTCTTATCCTCATGCACTATATAAGGTATATGGAAACATAATAAATGATTCTGCTTGTTTGGAAATTGCTTTGGGATATCTTTGGATTTTTGTAATAGTATTTTTGGCAGCTGAAGGCTAACAGCACCCAGAGGAGAGTCTGCCACAGGTTTTGACCAGGGTAGGAATTAGATGTCACTTCCACATGTGTGTGAGTGTTTATTTTCCCCAGTGCTGAAGCAGAAGCAGGAAACGAGTGTGATCGGATGTGCTGCAGAGCATGCTCCACGCAAACACTGTACAGACATCACTCCAGATCCTCACTGTGAGGTGCAGTGCTGCTGATCTAAGTTCCACAGATCATTCTTATCTGCAAATCTCAACATGTTTAACAGGTCACGGAGCTCTGCTCAGTCCTACAAACTCTTGGTCAGCACAAGGAGGGGAAGCTCTGCCAGCAGCCCATCCAAATGCTTTCCTCTTGTGCTTCTCATGCAGCCTCTGGGGACCAAGGCAGGGGAAATAAAGGTGGTCATCCTACCTATGTTATGGGTGGAAAGACAGGAAAGAATCCTTTTACGTGCAGGGCAAGTTGTGTGTGGTTTGTGGGGAATAATAGGAAAGAAAATGAGCAACAATGGAGATATTTGTACTAAGGATAGTGGATTTATTTTCCTTCTTCTGAAAAAGCAGCTGTTCACTGAAGGAAGTGAATCTCTGTCCATCATCATCATGTGGTGATGTGCAGATATCCCTGCTCATTGCAGTGGGGGGGTGGACTAGATGAACTTTGAAGGTCCCTTCCAACCAAAACTGTTCTATGATTCTATGATCATCCCACATATTCTGTGACTTGCAGCTCTTTGCTGTGGTGTCATCCTTTACTGTCACCGTAAAATGTTTCTGGTTTGTGACATTACAGAGAAGAAAATACAAAGGATGTGTTTTAAAAGGTCTTGCACTTTGCAGGGAATGAGCTAGTTTTAGCCAGATGGAGATTTGTCATGTAATGAGATTAAATTAGTACATCATCTACAGGTATTGCCTGACCCTGCTTGGCCAGACTTTTGGGTCCTGAACATGAGTTGCCCTCTGTGTCCTTGATGTTTCCCTGTCAATTCATAGGATTTCCAGCATCCCCAGGACTTCTGAATGGGCACTGCAGACTTTGCAGCACTGGGTTTCTGAGGCTGTGAGAACTTCCCAAGCTGATTTGAAGCTTATTCTGTATGATGAATCCACCTCTCTGCCAGACAGCATCAGGAAAACAGGAAGAGCTCTTGCTGTCAGGGTTATTTCACTGTGACAGCTGTCATTCACCAGAGACATCTGTGTAATGTGAGTGTGTGGAATAGTACACTATGGGCAGAAAAGGGGGGGGAAAGCACCAGATAGAGAAGAATACGGTTTATGTAAACCTACTTTGTGATCCCAACTACTTAGGATACCATTTGTTTACTTTGCCTGTCCCCTTCAGCTTCAGTGTCCACTCCAATCTATGCCTTGGTTTATGTCACAGAGTCTGGCAAATCTTTGTACGTGTTGTATTTGCTCTTAAGAAGGGCTTTATGACTACTGTCTTTGCTTCCTTATTCTTTGAGACAGAACCTGAAGACCAAAACTGCTCAGACATTGTAAGATAATGTTCCTTTGAGAGTTTAAATACACCTCTGTTTGAGCAGGACAATTTTATACATGTAATAAAGGAGCTAACCGTTATTTGCCAACATGGAAGACTAAGGGCAAGTTGTATTTTGGGGAAATGGATTGGAGTTCATGCAGACAAAACTTTATTTGTAACGCTTTGCTCATGAAGTGTAAGAATAGAAACAGGTAACGTGAGTGTGAGTTCAGTCTGAAACAGGTCTGCAATACATGTGAGAAAACCCTAAAGAATTCATCTAAGAAAGTAACTCACTAAATCTACATTCCTGCTCAACTGGAGATAACTCCAAGAAATGCATGAGTGGGGGTGATAATATAGAACACTAGTTTGCAATGATCTGGTGTAACATCGACTGTTTTGCATAAGCAATTATAAGACGTATTTATTGTTGTCTATTCAGTGAATGTGAACTTCAGTGTAACTTAAAATATGTGAAGTAAAAGAGGCACAGAAGTTTCCATCTCTTTTTACCTCATTTATTCATATGGTGAACAATGCTAAGATGCAGTTAATATCCGGA